GAGAGGATTCACCAGAGACAGAGTGGGGAGCAGAACAGGCAGATTGACGAAGTACACTGCTGAGGGGAGCAGTGGGCAGGCCAGGAGAGGTCTGCTACGCCTTGTGGATTCCCTCCAGGACTGGGGATCAAACTCGCACTGAACCAGCTGCAGCTAGCTTGCAGTGCTGTGCTTTAACCTGTTGTGCCACCAGGAGGAGCCTAGATTTTCAAATTTTTAAATTTTAAAATGACTTGATATGTTTCAAATTTATGAAAGGAAATAGATAATGCATGTAAGATATTAAAGTGCTATAAACAACCACACATGTATCCATCCTGTAGTGTAAGTAAGTAACACCAGTATCTTACAGCATCTGTGTGCCTCTTACTGTATCTACTTTTCATCTCTCCTCTCTACACAGGTGTAATCACACTTGAATTTTGTCCTCGTTATTTCTATCCTTTATAGTATTACCATATACAGGAGGATATGCTGACAGTGGTGTTAGCACATCTGCTAATTGTAACAGAAGTCCTGTTACCATCCACATACTGGATGTTTCATTAGATGGTTTCATGAAACTCAGTATATCGTAGTAATCATGATTGAGATTAATATAGCTGTGCAGTCTGGATACACAGTTAGATCGGTAAGAGAAAAAAAATGTATCAGTAGAGTATGCATTTTCATGCTAGACTTCTTATGTTCCCTAAAAGGACCTCACAAAGTATAAGCATGACATCTCACATGAAATTAAATACACAATCTTTCTGCTCTGGGAACTCATTTGAGGGTTTTTGTCGTGTGTGACAAGGGAGCCTTTGCTCACCAGAATTCATCACTCCCTGGAGGAAAAAGGAAGGTATTGACCATAAAGCATGGTATTTACACAATCATCTAGGCAGACTGGTTCAGCAGGTATTAACTTATGTGCTGGTCAAGGAGGGACATTCTGAAAACTAAATCCCTAAATTCCCATGAAGGACTACCCCTATAAATAGGACCTCTAAGCGATCAGACCTGCTAATACAAACTTTCTGCATAGATTCTCTAAATAGGATCAGTATGAACTTATGCAACTTGCCTTTTCTATGTTAACAATTGTTTATTCAAGTTGATGCAGTTTATTTCACTATTGTTTATGTAATATATAATTATACACTATTCAGTTTTCTGTCAGACTATCTTTTTGCTGTTAAGAATATAATTTCTGTGACAGGAAATTATTTCAACTTTGCTAGATAATGCCAAATGATTTTCCCTAGTAGTTATTAACGTATACAACCTGCTAGTGTTAAATACTGTTTTTTTTTTCTTTTTTGAAATTAAATGTGTTTAATAAAATATGGTATTTTAATGGAGCTCATCTAATGTATTTATCCCTTTCAGGGTCAGTACCAGAAATCACATCCAAACTCAGTGCTAGTTTCTTCAAAGGGGAAAGATGCTTCTGTGGACCATAATGGAGAAACAAGTAAAGCCAGCAAGTCAGGTTGGTGGCATACCTACCTGATTATTTGCCTAGATAAATTTTAAAAATTAGAGGTGCTGAAGTGGTGCATGTTTTGTGTCGAGTGATAAAGATTAGTGTCAACCTATATACACTTGAGAAATGTAAGAAGTTGTTTTTGATTCCAAGTCTTTGATCATTGTTTTTTTTCTTTCCTCTCTTTTCTCTATTTCTTTTAGATAGTTATATGTGCTTTTCAAAGTTTAAGGTTACTTTTTAAAGTTTTCTTTATTTGTATGTTTCAAAGAATTTTGTCATTTGAGGTAAGAGTCAAAGATTTAAAAGGAAAAGATATTGATCATTACAAACCCATCTTCCTGCTGATCCCACCTTTGAATTCTTGCAGACGCATTGGTGCTCCTAACTGAAAACATTAATTTTATGTTTGTATGTATGTGTGCACATACATGTTTTCAGAAGAGGCTTTCACAGTTCAGTTTCACATTCACACTGCAGTAAAATACCTTTTACCTTAGACTATTTACTGTCCTGCTTTTTGCCAGTTTGATTAGTTAATTTCTTTTTTTTGTCTATTTCCATTATTATCATTGATTTAAACACTTTTATAAGTTGATTGGCTGCTTTAATTTACTTTTTTCTGAACTGTCTACTTATATTCTTTTCCATTTTCTTTTTCTTGTTTATGATACATCTTTGAATTTTATATCTGTAATCACTTATTTGTACTTTGTGCAACTGATACTTTTCCAAATTTTGTTTAATATTTTTATAGATGGATAAAATTTTAAAATTTCAGTTGTCAAAAGTATAACTTAAAACTTTTGAGCTTCCTCTTTTGGTTAAAAAGTCAATCATAATGTATATGTAATCTCAGACTTTTTTTAAATTTAAAATTTGAATCCATTTGGAATGTGTTTTGGGGTATTATATGACAGTTTTATTTTTTTCCAAAAGGTTAGTTGTGTCAAGTCATTTTATTAATTGGGTCTCTATCAACATACAGTTTTGCCATGTGTTAAATCTCAAATATCATTTAACATGAATTTTGTTCTTTTTGTTTATTGCCAGTACAATACTGTTTTACTAGTACTAGTTTTTATAGTATTTCTGATATAAAGATATTTCCTATTCCGCTGCCATTATCATTCTCTGTTCTCTTAGTGAATTTTTGGTTTTATCTAATTCCCAATAATATTTTGTTAAGATTCTGATTAGCATTGCAGTTAGTTTGACAATAATTTGTGAAAATTCATTTTTATGTTAGTGTTGTTTTTTTTAACATAAGGACTTACCATGTTTCTACCTTTCTCAGTATTAGTCTGATGGACACTGTCAGTTACATGAAAGGGTAACGAGAGAATGGGAGAAAATTTGGTATCTTTAACTCTGTAAGACTTTAACAGTCACCTTTATTATGATTATACACATCACTTTCTTTGCTCTTTTTAAAAAGTAATTTAAACATCATAATAAAATTTACTGTTTTAGCCACTTTAAAGTGTACAATTCATTGGCATTGACTACGTTCACTTTGTTGTGAGACCATCACCATTATCCATTCAAAGAGCGGAACATCTGTAACTTATTAAATAACTACCCACACCTCACCACCTCCACTTTCCAGCTTCTGGCAACCTCCCGTTTATTTTCTATGCCTGAATTTATCTATATTTGGGTTGTTTCCACTTTTTGTCTATTGTGAATTAATACTGCTGTGAACACGGGTATTTGGCATTTCTTGGGTTCTCTGCTTTCATTTCTTTCTGTAAAAACCCAAAAGCAAATTATTGGAACATATGGTAGTTACATTTTTGTAATTTTTTGAGAAGACATCAAATTGTTCTCATAGTTCCCACCAGCAGTGCATAACTGATTCATTTTGTCACTTGCATTCATTGATCATAATTTGTTCAGGTTGTATTTTTCATGGTTTTAGTGGAATTAGTTATTTTGATTATATCCTTGTCATTTTGGTTATTTTGTTAGGGGAGCCTTGATATTATTTAAATCTCCTGTTACAACACAGTTGCCTTGTTTGGCTAATGTGCAGGTTCTTAACTACTTTTGCGGTTTTAATTCCAAGGACTTGTTTAGAGTCTTTATAGTGATTTTTGGATCTGTGTTTTGTTTATTTGTTTGTTTTTTAGTTTTCTAGGACCCCAGCACTCTCTGGTGCTCTGTGGAGTGAATGGAAGTGCTTTCCTGTTTCCTTATTTCTTTACTCACCCTGCAGAGATTAAAGTCAGAGCTAATGGAGTTAGATCTCCTTTCATCACTGGATAGAGATCAGGGTAGGGATGCAAAGCTTTCTTATGTTTGTTGCTTCTTTAGATTAGACTGGCCATCAGGTGCCCTCATTGTAAAGCAGTAGTGCTAGGGTGGCCTGGGGTGTCACCCTGCTTCACAGGGTGAGGAAGGTTCAAGTCTTCCTATTCTAAAGTTACCTGTGGCTCAAACTGCCTGCTATCACTGATTGTCGAAGTTGGACTGCATTGGTCCAGGGCTTTGTTGTTTTCTGTTACTGTCCCATAGTATGTAGTTAGGCTGGGCATGGCCTATATCTTTGCTGCTTTCCACTGCAAATGTAATGGAGTGCGCAAATGTAATGGTCGTGAAGTGGGATTGGGTTCCCCACTGTTTTCTTTCTCCAAGTCTTTTGAAAGAGGATACAGTTTCATCCCCCACCCCATGTCTGTTGACAGCTTTAGGTTGGTGTCTCTCTTAAGGCCAGTGTAGGGGTGTCTGGGAGATAAAAAGAAAACCCAGAAGTCTTGCCACATTGTTGTCTGTCTATTGTTGGTTAAGGCGTGGGGATCATGGCAAATGTGTCTCCATCCTTCCAGTTTTTAGTGATTCATTGTTGTTTGATGGACAGTTTCCATGAATTTAGTTGTATTTTTAGGAAAAAGTGGAGAAAGTAAGCTCTTGTCACTGTATTCAGGAACCAAAAGTCCTTTTTTGGTTGTATGTAAAGTTCTGGATCTTTGCTTTTTAAGGGCTTGAATTAGTATTCTCTCTCCATATGTATCTCTTTCTTCTATATATGTCTGTATATGTGTAAATATGTATTCATTTAGCTGTTCTATGTTATCAGCTGTTAACCTAAGATTCATTATTTTTAGTTGTCTATAAATTATTCAAATCTTAAATCAGTTGACTTGTATCAATAAAATTGTGACTATTTGAAGATTTTTATCATTTTAAAACTTTCAAAGCATGGACTAAATAGATGTTAAAGTTCACAAATTAGAACTTTTAAGACTTGTATATATATTTATTTATGTATGCATACAGAACTGGGGTACAGGCCAGAGGTGCAGGGGTGGTGAGAGGATTCACCAGAGACAGAGTGGGGAGTAGAACAGGCTGATTTACGAAGTACACTGCTGAGTGGAGCAGCGGGTGGGTCAGGAGAGGTCTGCTGTGCCATATGGGTCACCACCGGGGCAGGGATCGAGCTAATAATGAAGTGATTTTAGCTTTTTAGTGCTGCGCTTCAACCCGCTGAGCCACCAGGGAGGGCCCAAGACTTGTATATTTTAATCATAGTTCTTTAATTATAAGTAATAACCTGTGAGTCACTTGAAAATTATTTCTAATTATTGCTGAAGTTTTATAAAGCACGTTTGATTCTCTTATTATTAAAAATTATTTTAAATAACTTTATATACTTTCCTTCTAGTTTGCACCCATGATGTTCATGTGAAAAATTTGGCAACTGATGTTGGTTTAAAAAATACACCTGACACAAGAAAAATGTTAAATGCAAATAAAAAAATTCATCATGATGAAGACAAAGTGGAATTTTACTTATCTGTTGGTTCACCTTCTGCTCTCTTGGATGCAAAAACAGTGTCACAAAATGTTAGTGCTCAAAGGAAGGAGACCTGCACTTTTGAAAATTCAGTAAATTTGCTATCTTCAAGCACAGAGATTTCTCTTAAAACCAAAAAAAGGTGAATATTTAAATACCAATCTTACAACAGGTTTAAATTTTAAAAAGTGAGTAATTTAGTTTTTCATGTATTTCCTTGTAAGTATTGAAATATATTAAGTTATAAGAGACTTAACATGTATTATATCTATATATATAGATATGTATTTGTATGTGTGTATAACAGATGTGGTTTATATTTAGTAAGGAAGCCTTAATGTGTACATCAGAAAAAGTTTATGGATAAAATTTATATAATTGTTGGAAGAATGTATTTTTTTCTGGTGATACAGAAAATTTCCAAAGAGATACAGTTTGTATTTTCTCTGTTATTTTTAATTACAACATTGATATGTATCATCATTTCAAGTATGGGTGAAGGATAAGTATTATTGAGGATGAGCTATGGTAAACATATGTCCATTTCTTGGGCTTTTTGAAAGAATATTTAAGGTCCTTTATTATTTGAAACCTCTGCAGTGAGTATACTTTCTTCTTGGATTCTTGTATGATTCTTGGAGGCAAGCAGTTAAGTATATTCTAAAATTTTGCTATTCATAACTAATCTTGCAGCTCAGAATCAATAGCAATGGAAGTATCTGGGTTATAAAATACAGAATCTCAAGTATCACCAAAAATCTACTGACTCAGCCTATTTTTTTTTTAAGATTTATTTATTTATTCATAAAGAACTGGGTACAGGCCAGAGATGCAGAGGGTGAGAGGCTTCACCAGAGACAGAGTGGGGAGCAGAACAGGTTGATCGACGAAGTACACTGCTAAGGGGAGCAGCGGGCGGGTCAGGAGAGGTCTGCCACGCCATGTGGTCACCTCCGGGGCAGGCGGGAATCAAACTCATGCGGAAGTGGCTTTAGATTCTCAGTGCTGTGCTTTAACCCGCTGCGCTACCAGGGAGGGCCCCTCAGACTATATTTTAATAAGATTCTCTAGATTATTCAAATTCATATGAAATGATTGAGAACAACTATTCCAAGCTACACATTCCCTTGCTATATGACTTAATCATTCTCTTCTCTTGACAACTACAAAGTTTAATTTTTCTGAGCAATTTGCCTTGTATTTTTGGTGTAAAACATTACAAATCAGCATTCATACATTTGAAATAAAGTTTCAGTGGGTAAAAATTTTATTTTTCTAAATTATCACTGTAAGGGAATTCACCAAAACATAATGAAACAAATTGGGAGTTTTCAGCTTGCCTTCCTTTTAACCTTTTAGGTTAGACTTTGAAGATAAAGATGTTTTGAAGAACGTAGAAACAGAGAATAAAATATCAAAAATAGAGGATAAAATGTCAGAAGGACTACAAAAGGGGAAACGATCAGGAACATCTCAGAAAAGAATACAAGATTCAGAATATGAAATTCAACCACAAGCTAAAAAGAGTTTTTCAACATTATTTTTAGAAACGGTAAATAAAAAAAGCGCATCCAGGTAAGTTATTTAGCAACCGTCCTTTGAGTTATTTTTTTCTTTTATATTTATGAATATTATCTAAGGAGTCTTAATGCTATTTAACTTAAAAGTAAATATTGACACAAATTCTAATTGAAATTATGCCTAACTCATTAATTAGTAGTTTCTTCCCAATAAATCATCTCTAAAGCCATCATTTAACAGATAATAAATGTGATGTGAAAGAAAATGTATTTATACAGTTTCTATAACTTCTGTTCATCAACAATTTCTTGTTAGTATGACATCAAAGAATGAAGGAAATGTTTAGGAATAAAATTATGTCAGGGTATCTGAATTTTAAGATAAATGGTTTTAAATCTTTTCTATTCTGCTTATGTCAACAAAGAGGTAGTCTTTAAAAAATACATTATTTTATTTTTAATTCAGTATGTTTTTAATATTCTTTTACATAATTTTTTAAAATCCGTAGTGAGTAGTATTAACTTTAGTTAGTGAAGTTAATTTTCTGTCTAATTGTTGTAGCCAGATTAATTCACTATTCCTGGTACTTTCTTACTTTATACTTTTGCTTATATTCTTCCCTTTGATTTTACTTGTACATTTTTTCATGACCAAATATCTTCTTTTCAACTTTATTTAGTTGGAGTAACTGTGGCTTAAATTATTGAGGGTCTTTTGGAAGTATAGGCTATTTTCCCCTCCATCCCTACCTCTACCTATTGCCACCCATCACCAAGTCAAAAAAATATATACAAAGTATCATTTTTAGTCTATCAGAGAATTTACATTTTCTGAGCTTCAACTTTTTACTACATATAAAGAATGGGGGAGCATCTAAATTTATGTAGTTCTATTAGAGTTCTAAATGAGTGTAACCAATATAAAATGGTAAAAGAAGGGAAGATTTTACAGGGAGGGTAGGATTTTTAAGGAAATGGGACAATTAGGAAGGCTGTGTGCTTTTTAAGATACAAAGATTTTATTTTATATATATATTATTTTCTAAACTAAGCCAAGGCAAAAAGCTTTTTGAGCTATTTATTGTAACATTCTCTTTTAGTCCTATTGTTCAACATACATCAGTTTTTCCACCTCATCCATCCCCAGCAAATGATAAGAAGTTATTAGAGGATGAATTTGTCATTGATAAATCAGATACAAGTTTTGCCGACCGATCTTGGATTTCTATACCAAGGAGGGCTGGATCTTTGAAACAGTGCACAGGTTTTCCTATTGAGAGCACTACACTCATTCAAAACAAGAAGTCAAGAGAAAAACACCACAGTGTATCATCTGTAACTTTAACAAAGGACAAAGATTCTGATAAAGTTCAACCAATAGAGAAGTCTCAGCCAACTGAACATAAAAAATTGGGTAGAAGTTGTGCCTTGACCGATGCAATGGAAAATGATCACGGGTCTACAAAATGTGAAACATATTCTGAGAATGCAAAACAATCACCTCAAAGTACAAGGACTAGAAGACAAAAACAGAGGAGAAAATCTAAGCCCAATGTAGTTGAAGATCATGTTGATACTGAACAATCTAAAGAGAAAAACCAAAACGTGTCACATCCCACCCAGGACAACTTACAAAGAAATTCAGACAGAAATATTGAAGTGTGTGAAGAGATAAGAAATGCTCATACTTCAGTAGAACAGATGCAACCTGGGGGTAAGAGTATGTATTAAATATACCTACAAAGGTTATTCTAATACTATGTACAAAATATTCCTATTTAGCTTTGGGCAATAGGCGGCGTAAGCTTAAAACCTACAAATGAATGATTGAATAAATAAATCTTTAAAAAAAAGTCTTTCATTATAAAAAAAATTTACAAAGAGCCTCAAAGGTCTATTTTCCTAATGTCTTTATTTTATGCATCATTCAAACCCACTTCATTTTTGTGTAGCTTCTAAGATGATAAATTATAAAGGGGGAGTGAAAGGAAGAGGCTAGTGGATAAGGTGATGCATAAAACATCATGAATTCTTTATGTTCATTAAAACAAAAATGGGGGGGGGGTTCCAGGATTGTGTGAGGCTGTTTTCCATTCTCTGTTATTCCATCATTCATGCATTTTTTTCTATTGATGACAACTATTAAATGCCAGACATTGAAATTTTTACAAAGATTACTAAAACACAACTTTTACCATTGAAAACATCTATTAGTGGGGGCTGATAATGGGAGCCCAGAGAAAAATTATCTAATATCTTAATGGATTGGTTTGTCTTGGGCCATTAGATAATTTATCACCTAATCTGGGACACTTGAGAGTTGCAGGGAATGTCAGGAGTGTAAGCACAGACTGGGATTATCCTGGGAAAACTTGGAGTATGGTTACCTCTGATTACTGGTGCTTGTAGTGATGGCACTCTCATGAAGGAAAGACTAATACATTCTTTTACTGCATTTTAGGGAATAGAAACAAAAAACTGGTTACTTTTAAGGAAAGAATTCTCTCCTGGATCATTCATGAACTAGAAAACACTTATCAAATATATAATTTTTATGTATGTAAAATAGCCTAATCTTTTTTGACAGTCTTATAAAGTAGGAGCTGAAGCTCCATGGAGGTTTAAAAAGTACTGAGTAAGGATCTGGCTTGCCATACAGCCCTGTGTTTTTTGGTCCTGTAAGGAAGTTTTGAAATAAGTGAAAACATTTTGCTTTTAATGCTCAAATGGAAAAACTGTTAACTAATCAGAAATCTCCCTTGGCCAGAATTGTATATATGCCTGAGATTATAAATGACTGTTATATTACCTCTTTAAATTCATTGCTTAGATTGCTTTATCTTAATTCCTCCTGTAAATAGACCACTTTCTAAACTGTGAGCCTTTTTGTAAGATGTTCCTTTTGCTTAGGAAGTTTTCCCTAAATGTACCCTAAATCCTTTACCAAGCTTTTATACTCAGTTTAAATGTTATTTTACATTATTAGTGCCCCAGCCCCTCTTTGGATGTTCTTACCTACTTTTTAATAAATAGCACCATTTTCATTTAATCAAATATGTAACTGCTTATTGAAGTTCTGCCTGTTGTCTAGGGTCTGGACTGAAAATTCCAGAGGAATAGGGACAATATCTGTCCTATTCCTAAAATTGCCCCCAGACCTTAACCTTTGTAGTTATCTCTGTATCATTGAAATACATTCTCATTAGTAATAGAAGTATTACACTATTTTTGATGAATAATTCTGTTATATTTATTAAAGCACCTTCAGAATCCTTCTCTACATGTATTCAAAATTTTCTATAGTAGAATCATTTATAACTTTTTTTCTAGCTGTTCCTCCTTATGATGTATGTCTCTTCAGTTTTAAATCAACTCTTTTTATATTACCACTGTTCATATATCAAGTTCAGATAGCTTGTTTGTTTTTTGTTTTTTTTTTTTTTTTAGTTTTAAAATTATTTTTCATTCTAGTTTCTAATCTTTCCTGATTTGGAATTAGTTTCTGACACGATACTCTTAACTGGTTAGTTTTTTACTTTGTTTGACATTTCTTTTTTGTATCATTTTCCAAATCAGTTTGGTTGATAGTACTTTCTACTCAAAACTTTTCCCCCTACATCACTGTTTACACTGGAATTTTGAAGTTGATTCATAAATATAGCAATGCTTTCTGTCATGCTATGTATCTCTCATCGTTCAAGCAGTTATTAAGGATATTTTTGACAAGTGCATGGAAAGGGAAAACAGGTTGGGGAGAAATAAAAGAATAGGAATTGGAAAAAGAGATGATGGTAGAAATAGAGGGGCCAGGAAGATGATACTTAATGTGCAATTGTGCAGATAATACTTTAAACTTTTCTTTTTAAAGGTTATTTATTTATTTATGCATACAGAACTGGGGCACAGGCCAGAGTGGTCAGAGGCTTTACCAGAGACAGAGTGGGGAACAGAATAGGTAGATCAATGAAGTACACTGCTGAGGGGAGCAGCAGGCAAAACAGGAGAGGTCTGCCTTGCCATGTGGAACACCTCTGGGGCTGAAGCCCGGAATCAAATTCACACTAAAGCAGCTGCAGCTAGCTTGCAGTGCTTCATCTTAACCAGGGAGGTCCCAATACCTTAAATTTCTAACCAGTGGCAGCTGTATTGAAAGTTCTTTGTACCTGCTTTGGTATTTTATAAAGTGACACCTTTTTTCTATATTCAGTCTTCAAAAATATCTTTTTTAGAACTTTTTTGCATATAGCAGGTACTTTTTTTTTTTGTTAAAGATTTATTTATTTGTGCATACAGAACTGGGGTACAGGCCAGAGGCTCAGGGGCGGTGAGAGGCTTCACCAGAGACAGAGCGGGGAGCAGAACAGGCAGATCAACGAAGTACACTGCTGAGGGGAGCAGCGGGCGGGTCAGGAGAGGTCTGCCATGCCATGTGGTCACCTCCGGGGCAGGCGGGAATAGAACTCATGCGGAAGCGGCTTTAGATTCTCAGTGCTGTGCTTTAACCCGCTGCGCCACCAGGGAGGGCCTATAGTAGGTACATTTTATGATATATTGTATGTATAACATATTTTTACTCAATCTCTAAAAAAAAGTTTTCCTTTCAGAAAGGAACACTTGACTTACACCAACTATGGTTTTTATTTCTGCTACCTTCTATAGTCCTGACTACTTGAACGGAGCCACAGGACAGTCTCATTTGAAGAAACATAAGCCACCTTTGGTCCTTACAGAGATAATCAGAATTTAAGACATTGTGTTTGCCTCTTCTCTTGCTTTAGCTGTACAACCAATCAAATAATTAATTTCTAAAAGATCTTCTTTACTATTGAGTTTTTGCTTTTCATTATCTCTCCATGGTATTAGTTGATACTAGTATTAAACATAGTATTGTTAAAGTAGAATTTTCCTTTTTCATGAACTTTTTGGTCTGTTTTTCTCAAAAAAACTCAGTTTGTCTCTCACCTGCTTTTATAGCAATGAATCAATTCTTTTTATGCCATAGTCAACATATTGCCAATTCCTAAACTTAAAGAGTGATATTGCTATAATGGATCTTAACATAACTTGTCTCACTTTGCATCCTGTGTCCTTGACTCCTTAATCAGCTTTACCCAGGAAAATGGCAAAACTGTCTTGAAGAGTACTTTTCAAACTTGCATGTCAGTTTAAATTCCCTGAGGATCTTGTTAAGCTATTAATAAACTGACCTAGTGAGTCTGGGTTAGGACCAAAGATTTTGTAATTCTAGACAGAATATTTTTGGTGGTGCTGATTGAGCTGATTTGTGAGTCATATTTTGAGTATCTAACCCAATAGCTAGTCTTTTCTTACTTGGGTTATTGATTGGTAGTTGGAAGGAGATATATATATATATATATATATATATATATATATATATATCATAGTTTATTCCTTTTTGGAGTATGCTTGTCTTTTTGGCCCAGGAATATATTATTAAGCATTATGAAAAGTTTCTCTTAACTCAAAGAAAGTCCTCCTTACTGAGGACATGTGACTTTTAAAAACAGCTGGAAAATGTCTACAGGATCAAATTGAGAAGTTTTTATAGTTCAAATATGTTGTGGTTTTTTAAAAACTAGATTATGGTTTTCTTTATTTTTAGGAAGCCAGCACAATAGCACTCATATTCCTCTTACAAAGAATCAGAAAAGAGATAGAAAATCTAAAAAGAAACATTCTTCACATGGGTCCAAGAAGAACAAACTTACAACTAAAGAATCTGATTCCACTCTCACAAGAAGTCGAAGAATTTCCAGGCGTCCATCAGATTGGTGGGTGGTAAAACCAGAGCAGAGTAAGTATTTTTATTTAAATTGTGTTCATTGGGTACTCCCCAAAAGTCATTGTATTAAGAGGGTTTACGTTTCATTTACTTCCATTCTCCAGAGAAAATCTCAAAATAAAGTTAAAAGTGGGTCCTCAATAGAAATATTAAATTATGAAGATACTTCCTGAGACTGTACTATAGTTAATATTCAAGAAATAGGGGTTAGCTGTGGATTAACAAAACTAAAAGTAAAACGTCCATGTTCTTATGAGACTTATATTCTAGTGTAGGAAGATCAACAGTATAGATTTATAATTCATGCAGTGATCGATGGTAAAGAAAAATAAAGTAGATGAAGGATAGTGATGGGAATTAAGTGGCAAGGAAGGGAGTTGAAAGGTCTGTTCATGTCTGTGATTCATTATAGGATAATGTACCAAGCAAGATCATCAGAGAAAAGTTTATGGACAAAGTGTAAAGGAAATTCAGCACAAGCTTCTAAGAGTTCTCTCACACAGGATTCACGCAGGAGGCACTTAATTATTCCAGAAATGAGTTGTGACAAATGTGTGATATGATTTCTCCTAGAGACATAGTGCTCAGGTTCTTTATTGGGGATGGTTACCTAGGCAACTTTTGCCTTGTAAATACTAAAATTCCAGACTGAAGGAAAGCACATACTTGACATTGACTTTTTATTATTTGGGTAAGCAGTTTAGAACACCAAACTAGGCTTATCAGTTTGGAAATGATAGGAACCTTCCTGAAATTCAAGTTCTTAGATTCTAGCCAGGGGCTAACTTTACAGGTAGACTCTTCTTAGATGAGCATTCTTAGGCATTCCCTTTTCTGTAAATAATGAAGTACTGGCTCTCCCTGGTGGCATAGTAGGATAAAGCGCAGTGCTGAGAAGCTGGCCATGGCTGCTTTGGTGCGAGTTTAATCCCCACCCTGGAGGTGACCACATGGCATGGCAGACTTCTCCGGACCCTCCTGCTCCCTTCAGCAGTGTACTTCATCGATCTGTCTGTTCTGCTCTCCACTCTGATATGGTGAATCCACTCACCACCCCTGCACCTCTAGCCTGTACCCTGGTTGTGTATGCATAAAGAAAGAAATCTTTAAAAAAAAAAAATTGAAATACTAATTGTTTTGGAAAAGCAATTTTTTGAAAGGGGAGCGATCATGAAAATTTGGTAGATGATAAGCATTTACGTAATATCACTGTCAACTAGTGCATTTAGATCAATAAGTGAGAGCAGAACAAATTTGACACTACAACTGTGAGCCTTAACTTGCTATGAATTATAGAATCACTAGGATCTTTGGTAACAGGAAAATATATTTATTGTGCTACAACCCTTTTAGAATTTGAAGTTACACTTGAGTTTAAAATATGTTTGTCTTAATTTGGGTAGATTCATGTTTAGTTTCTCTCTCACTCTTGTAACATTATTACTCATACCTCTACTTCATTAAGTTGTTGATCTACTGTTGCTACTTTGGAAAACTCCTGGGTTACCTGAAACTGCTATGATTACTGAGTAAATATTTGGGTGAATAAAAACCTTACAGAGATGAGATATAAGAATACTAGAATTTTGAAATTCATCAATATATAAATTCAGATAAAGCACCAGTCTTCATCTCAGAATTATCAATCTGCTGGAGGAGAGAGATTAGTAAATAGTATGACATTTGATAAATATTATCAGGTGCTAAGATAGAGCTGTCTGTTCAAATTACCCTACTCCAGAGAATATCTGATTTAGTAGATTTGAGGTGAGATCTGAGAATTTGCATTTCACACAAATTCTGAGGTGATTCTGCACCTGCCTGTCAAGAGCCCACTTTTGAGATCCAGTGCTTTAGAGAAATGCAAAAAGTTCAATATTGTTGGTTTGCTAGAAGAAGAGTGTTGAGAGTTGTAGTTAATGAAATAAGTACTCTAGATGGAGAAATTAATGTTAAAAATATTTGGACTTCATCCTTGAACTATGGGCAGCCACCAAAAGTTTAAGTGGGTTTATAACAATCCAATTTGTTTTCCAAATATGATTCTTGAAGCAGTGTGAAGAATTAATTGAAAAATGGAAAAGGAGATTTATGAAGAGACAATTTTGGTAATCTAGATTAGAAATGTAGAGGATCTCTGATGAAGATACACAAGAGACTTTGAAATAAGTAGATTTTTTAGAACATTAACAAAGAGGAGTGACAGGATTTGGAGATTGATTGTGGATAGGGTCAGGTGTCATAAGTAACTCAGATTCTTAAGTATCTGGATGTAGATAGTTACACTTTTTACTAAAATAGGAAATAAAAACAGGAGGGCAGATTTTTATGATAGAGTTGTTGACAAATGTTATAGGTAGCAGCATTTAGATGGTAATTAAACTTATGAATAGATAGATCACTCAAAGAAAGTAGTAGAATGGGAGTCTGATGCTGAAATCTTAAGGAAGAGCAGGCACTTAGGTATGGCTAGAAGATGGTGGGTAGAGAGGATGTGTTTGGGACTTGGATAAACTTAGCAGATTTGGTGCATGTACCTACAAATTGAGAAGCTGTATAGTTTATGAATTTGGCTTGAAAACAAATGTAGCCTATGAGATTGATATGGGTGTTAATATGTAAATAATGTTGGTATTTCAGTGAGTCAGATAATCTGTATAAATGGAAAGTTATTTTAAGTTATTGCATCTTTTCAGGTCCTGCTTATAGCTATTCTTCAATAGTAAATGAATCAGCTCATCACAACAGTAGACGAAAGCCTGCTGAAAAAACAAGTCAGTCATCTAAGAATAGTGGTGAAAAAACGAATCCACCAAAAAGGCAGAAGAGAACGCAAGGGCGTGCCAGAGAATTAAAGTTTTTAAGTACTGAAGATCCTGGTGAAATTGTGAACCATGATGAAATCTCCACTTGTTCCCACAATGATTCATTGGAAATTGATAAGGCAGACCTGGCTGAAAAGAAAAACTTTGATCATTCTGGGTAATGTATTTTATGTGTACTATATAGTTATTTTTGTTGTTTAGCATTTAATAGTTTGTGTTATTTAATCATTTATAGAGAAATGATATTAGCTTAAAAACTTTTGTGTTCTGATGGATCTGTTAGTAAATCAAGGCTCTGGAACTATATATAACATGTAGGGTGTGAATGATAATTAAATAAGGTAAGTATTATATACATAACATGAAATGTACCATCTTAGTCATTTTAAGTTTACTGTTCAAGTTGCTTTCTTTTAAGTTCGGTTAATTTGATTTCAGTAGTTAGGGATATATCATAATACTTCTTAACCAAAGATGACAATTGTTAATGCATTTTGAATGCTTATTATTTGCCAAGTATTTGCTAGGTGCTTTCAGTGAATTCTCATCAGTCCTAATAATACACTGAGATAAACATTGTTCTTAGGCACCTTTACTTTTTGATACAGCATTCATTCATTCAACATATACTTAAGGCATGTTATGTGTGAGAAATTGTAAGGTTCTAGGGATGTACCTTAAAAAATGATGCAGTGCCCTGAAATATATATTAGTTCCTATCATGAGGTACAAAAAGAAATCCCTTATATATTCTTTTTAACCTTTTCATACCATGTTCATAGCTGCATTCTCATCCAATTAAATATTCAGGTATGCCAAAAAATAAAGCTATCATCTAAAATATGAGTGACTACTGAAATTCTGTATGTACCTTTGTTGAGTCCATTTCTCCTTTTCCCCTTATTAGAAGTACCTTATACACTGGATTTAATAGTCCCTGTTCTATGTATATTGTAAACATGTTGTGGTAGAGTAAAATTTGATAAAAATGGCTTCATACTATACTTCCCCTTCTGTGATTTTTTTTCCCCACTGCTATTAACTTTTTTTTTTTAAGATTTCTTTATTTGTGCATATGGAACTGGAGTACAGGCCAGAGGCTCAGGGGCGGTGGGGTGAAAGGCTTCACCAGAGACAGAGTGGGGAGCAGAGCAGGCAGATTGAGGAAGTACACGGCTGAGGGGAGCAGCGGGCAGGTCAGGAGAGGTCTGCCACGCCATGTGGTCACCTCCGGGGCAGGCGGGAGTAGAACTCATGTGGAAGCAAGCGGCTTTAGCTTCTCAGTGCCACCAGGGAGGGTCCTGCTATTAACTTTTGAGATTATTTATGTTAAATGATTTATTTAACATTTCTTTACAGTGGAGGTTGATAAACTTCATAAAGGGCCACATAGTAAATATTTTAGGATTGCTAGTCAGGTGGCAAAGTTGAGACTATTATATATAGACACTTCAATAATCACTTGAAATATAACCACTGAAAAATGTAAAAGCCATTTTTAGTTGTCAGAATTTAAAACAAAAGTAACTGGTTGAATTGTTAGTTTCACCTTGTACAGATATTCAAAATGTATTTATCTATTTTCTTGATATTTCTCTAATTTTTTACATGAAAGACAGTTTTCCAGTGGACAATTTATCCGCAAAAAAGTCATTAATGTTGAAATTAGGAATGTAGTGAATGTTGTATTTTGTCTCAAGGATTTTCTGCTTCAAAAGAAACCACTTATACAATTGAGATGACAAAAATGTACAAAATGATATAAAAATAAACTGTTAATAAAAAAAGAATATCAACTTCTATATACTCTATATTTACACGTACTGCAATTTTAAGGCATGCGTAGTGTGTAGTTTCAGTTTCATGTAAATTTGTTCATTAAACAACCCTGAAGTATATCATTAAAAAAAAAAAAAAAAAAAGAAACCACTTCTGTTTTCTCCAGACACTAACGATATTGGTAATCACTCAAGTTAAGTCTCCTTTTAAGGTTGTTTTCAAAGTGGCTAGCATGAAGTATATATTAATACCCAAAGACAATATTAGTGTATTAATTTGATGGCCCTTTAAAAATATCTGAGTTGGGGCTAAATTAAAACTGTTTGGAGACTAGTTTTGTATCTTTTGTTTTAGAAATTGTATAGGTATCCAAGGATTAATTATGAACTTTTATATCACAATTTAATATTAAAGTTTTAAAGTTAACTGAAAGAGTTTGGAAGTCGTAATTTAAGCTGATATATTTTATAATTTATGCCACTGTAAAAGTTAATTCATTTGGGAAAAGACATTACCTATTATTTAACTTTGGCACATAACTTTATATTTTATAATGTTCAAAGAAGTGCTTTAAGTAATTTTAGGAATTAATTATTAGGTTTTGGAGGAGAAAATAAATTCAAATCTTTTCAATACTGTAATACTAGATCAGTGAAATTAGTGAGGAGACAGATCATGGTTTTTAAGCCAAAATTAATAAATATGCCTGAGATGTCTTTCTAAGAAATATTACATGAGATTCTCTTCTATAGCAGATATTAAAATAGCATTTTAAAACCTTTAACTTGTTTAAAAGTAATATTGCTTTGCTTAGAACCTACCAACTATGATCATTAACTAAATTATAAGCTAACATCCTTTTTCCCTCTTAGAGTCTTTAAGATAAAAATGATCTTAAGAGCTAGTGTATTTAAAGCTTAAGAAACAGTTTCCATCTAGAAATCTTTGTATTACTCTCATTTTAATAATTACTTTACTTTAAAGATCTAATTTGCTTTATTAAAAAATCCATGAATCAGACAGTATCCCATCCATCAAAGTTATATAGGTACTGCCTGATTTTAAACTTACTTAAAATACATAATTTTATACGATTTCATAAGCCAGTTAGAACAAAAACACATTACATTAGATTTTTGTATACACCTTTACTGTGATATAATTCATATACTGTACAGTTCATCATGAAATGTATACCATTCACAAGTTTCTACTACTTATACAGGTGGGTGTAAACCTTCAATACAGTCAGTTTTCAGACATCTTTATCAACTCAAAAACCTTCAATACAGTCAGTTTTCAGACATCTTTATCATCTCAAAAATCCTGCAGTATTCCCCTTCTCTATAACTAAACCATCAGAAATCTGTTTTCTTTCTTTCTAGATTCCTCTGTTCTGGACTATCAAATAAATGAAATCATATAGTATGAGTTTTTTTATACTGGCTTCTTTCAGTGTGCATAGTATTTTCAAATTTCTGCCATCTTGTAGCATGTATCAGTTCTCCATTTTTTCTTATGACTTAACTATTTCATATTACAATTATACTACATTTTCTTTTTAAAATTCATTTGATAAGCATTTGGGTTATTTCTACCTTTTGGTTATTGTGATTAATGCTAATACAAACATTTCTGTACAAATTTCTGTGTAGACATACATTTTTATTTGTCTTGCATTTATAACTTGGAAATGGAACTGAATCTCATATGGTTACTATATTTAATCTTTGGAGAACTTAGAGACTGTTTACCAAAATTCCTGCCTGTTTACCAAAACTCCTGCCGATATCACACTCCTACCAGCACAGCAGTGCATAAGGGTTCTAATATCTAACTTTTTGACTTTTTGATTCTTGCCATACTAGTTGTTATAAATTAGTGTCTGATTTTTTTTTCTATTTGCATTTCCCTGATGATTAATGATGTTGAACATCTTTTCATGTGCTTATTGGCCATTTGCTTATCTTTAGAGAAAGAGTTATTCAATTCTTTTGCTTAATTTTAATTGGATTATCTTTACTTAACAAGTTGTAAGAAGTCTTTATATATTCTAGATATAAATCCTTCATCAAATAATAATAATTTGCAAGTATTTCCAGCAATCTCTGGGTTGTCTCCTCACTTTCTCAATAATGTCCTTTGAAGCACAAATTTTTAAATTTCAGTGAAGTCCATGCTTTTACCTATGGTGTCATATATGAGAATTCTTTGCCCAATACATTAGTATTATATTTTTAGCTCTCAGACTTATGTCTTTGATAAACTTCAAGTTAATTTTTGTGAATCCTGAGCACCCTTTTTGTTTCTCAGGTTGACTGGGGTATCAAAAAAAGAAATTGAGTTGAGCTGTAACTTTTAAAAAAATTGATAGATTAACTGTAGTATACATCTTAAGTTTCCTGTAGGTAATTTGTGTCTTCCCGTGTCCTTATGTCATCACTTCTGTCTTAGCATAGGCCTGTTCCATTTCCTTATCAGATTTGTTCAAGTCCAAATACTTGAGAGACCCTAGAATCAAATTTCCTCCCAGACTAGTTATAAGCCCTAGGGCCAGAAGAGGAATATCTGATATTTGTAGTTGCTGGTTTTACATTGCTTACCCACCCTTGCATTGATTGTGGAAGAAGGATTTTAAGAAGTAATGTAAACAATTACACATTTTTCATTTTCATCATAGATGTACAGGAAGTTCAAAGGAGCGCGATGGTACTAATACTATACAAAATGTTCATCTAAAGTCTCAGCCAAGTGACTATACATGCAAGACAGTGGCAGAGTCTAATTTGGATTTTGGAGAGCCTAAGAATTCAGTTTTTGAAGGAAGGTATGCATGTATAAAGCTAATAGGACTTACTGTATTAGTTACCCATTATTATGTAACAGGTTATTCCTAAGCTTAATTCTAATTTTTCTAGTGGCTTGTACACACTTTTTGTTTCTATGGATCTAGTTCTAAATCTGAGAAAGGCTTTTTTTTTTTTTTTTTAGCTAGTTCCATCTTAGGGAGTTCTTGAAATGTAGGAGTCAAAAGCTGTGGTTTTTGGATGGGTTTTCAGTGCTTCAAAGGCGTACCTAGATCCCTAGCATCCACTTATAAGGTGACTTGCTCATATTGCTGTTGGCTAGAGACCCTTGTTCGTTGTCATGTGACTCTCCATAGGACTGGTGGGCATGGCAGCTGGTTTCCTGCACTACGTAAGTGATCAACAGAAAGTGTGACTGCAATGGAGTTTATGATACATTTTAAAGATCTAGCTCTAAAGTTGCTTACTGTCACATTTGCATTATTCTGTATGTTAGAAACAAGTCATAAAGTCCAAGCCACATTTAAGGAGATGAGAATTAGCTTTCTTGAAAAAAGGAATGTTTAAGAAATTATGGATATATATTCAAAGTGAGCACACTCAGTGAGCAAGCCAAATTAACCTACTCTTATCACATCTGAAGTCATATACCCTTTTTTTAAATGAAGGAATGGAAATTACAGCAGATTCCAGACATTTACAAAACAGCTAAAATTTTTTTTACTTTTTGTGATTTATGACTTCTAGACTTGTCCTGGGTTCACAGTAGGAAGAAAGGAATTTATCTATCTCTGGGAGAACTAAATCATTTCTGAATAATTTCTAGATTACATTTAAAATGGATGTTTTTGGCTTTAAGTTTTTCTTAATTTAAGGGTTTCTTTTAAAGTAAGCTGATTTGTTTTTATTTGATTTTTAATCAAAGAATTCTATTTGAATTGACAAAAATTCATAACTGATCCATGAGTTTATAAAGGATATAAAGTTCAGTGTATCATGTTTGATAGTCCATTATGGAATTTAATTGTAGGTTCTTTGTTTTATGTAGCAAGTAAATATATCCTTGGTGACCTATAATATCACTGTTTATAAGAAAGAAACCTTTGGTAATTTTAGGAGAAAAATGAGCAGTAAGATAGATATATTAGATACACGTAGTATAAAGGCATGTATTTTATGTTTTTAATCTTTTTTTCCCCTTAAGTGGACCTTCCACAGTCAAGAATTTTTTAATAACTGAAAAGAATAATTCTGATGTAGATGATAAGGAAGTTCAGGAAAATCCAGGTAAGTTACTATTTTTTTTCTGTGTTTTTGATTTTTATGGCGTTATTGTATATGGAGTAAAGTGTGCTGTTTTATTTAATACATCACCTGCTGCAAATTTGAGTACCTACTGTTGGTAGAGCCGTTTTAAATATTTTGAAAACCTTCATATAATTTTACATAGGTACTAAACCAGTCTACCTTCCCACCAACGGAGGCTTCCTTTTCCTTCACATCCTCATTAACCCTTTATTTATTTATTTATTGTTTGTTGTGAGGTTTTACCTCACACCTGTGAGCAATGTTATGTGCCTGTTGGCCAATTAGTATGTCTTCTTTGGAGAAGTGATTTATTAGCTCTTTTACCCATTTTTTGGTTACATTGTTTACTTTTTGTTCAGTTGTATGAGTGCTTTCTAGATTTGGGATATCAACAGCTTTTGAGATGTATGATCTACTGTTCAGTTAGGTGCCTTTTTGTTTAGTGAGTTTCTTTTGCTATGCAAAAGCTTTTTAGTTTGATGTCACTATTATTTATATTCTCATTTATGTTCCTAGTTGTTGGAGATGAATCCACAAGACATCTTATAGCCTACATTGTGGAGTGTTTTGCTTATGTTTTTCATCTGTAATTTTATAATTTCGGGTTTTACATCCAAGTTTTTTGTTCATTTTGAGTTAATCTTTGTGTATGGTATGAAACTGGTCTAGTTTCATTCTTTTGCATGTGGTGGTCAGTTTTTCTCAAGCATGTTTATTGGAGAGGCTTTCCTTTCTCTTGTTCACATTCTTGGCCTCAATCCCATTTATTGGAGAGGCATTTCTTTCTCTTGTCCATATTCTTAGCCACTTTGTTGGGGTTGACTGTCCATAGATGTGTAGGTTTGTTTCTGAGCTCTCAGTTCTATTCTGTGGTTTGTGTGTTTTTATTCTAGTTAGTACAGTTCTGTCTTGTTTATTATCTTTGTAATATAATTCAAATCCTTTCTCTCTTTTTTTTTTTTTGGTCAGAATTTTGGTCCTTTCTGTTGCTTTAGGTAAGATGGCCACTTTGACAATGTTTATTCTTCCAGTCATGAGTAGGGAATATCTTTCCATTTCTTTGTGTCTTCTTTGTATCTTTTAGCAATGCCTTATAGTTTTCATTATATTGGTTCTTCACCTCCTTTGTTAAGTTTATGCCAACATATTTAATTCTTTTTATTATAATTACAAATGGGATTTTTTTTGATTTCCTCCCCCCCCCCCTTTTTTTTTAGCTCAGTATTTGCAGGTAGGAAGGCAACTGATTTATGTATATTGACTTTGTGACCTGCCATTTACCTACCCTTACTTTGACCTGTAGGCTGGTTTGGCCTTTTATGTGTCCCAATTTACCTAACAACTGCTTAGGGCAGCTGTCGGTACTGGTTGTAGAGAGGATCAATCCTTAAATCATTCCACAGAGCACAAAGATAGGTGAAAATGTTTTCCCTGTAGGATCACTGGATCTTGTGGGATCCAACTCAAGCATCTATGTTAGGTTTCCACTCCTGTAGATACACCAAACATTGATCAGAGGGAGTGACTGTTGTTTTTCTTTGGAGATAGCCAAAGCTGCTCTCATACACTGGCCATTCATATTCTGAGTATACTGTTTGTCTTTGACAATTCAAGAGAATACCTTTTAGCAACTGCTATGCAACACTCCTTGCCAGTTGAGACTAGATTTACACATTTGCACGCTGGAATTCGCTTTTTTTGCTTACTGTTTTAGCATACGATTTCCAGCCCACTTCTGGATAAATTCAATTTTTAAAAACAAAACAAAAATTCCAGGGCTATAAGTCAAATCTGAAATCTAGGAATACTCACCAGTCATTAAGTCTGGAACTCCGAGTTGCTGGATGGACTCAAGTGGCCTTTATGACCATAGCCAGCCAAGTCAGCTTGATGCTCCAGGCAGGTTCAGGTGAAGTTTCTGGTTCCTTTTTTGTTGGTTACCATTTGTTGACGTAAATAAACTGGTACATGCAGAATTCAGTGAGTTTATTGTACTATCAGCATATTAATTGGTCTTTATTCCACCCTCCATTTTTATCCACCCAGTGACAAATGGAAAAAAAATATATATATATATTTAAGATTTATGTATTTTTGCACACAAGAGCTGGGGTAGGCAGAGGTGTGGCATGGTGAGAGAATTCGCCAGAGACAGAGTGGATAGCAGAACAGGCAGATTGACTGCTGAGAGGAGCAACAGTACAGAGGCAGGAGAGGTCTTCTGTGCCATGTGGTTTAACTCCCTGGCTGGGAAATAGAACTCTTTCTGCAACCTATAGCTTCATAGGTTGAGACTTAACCCCTTATGACACCAGGGAGGCCCTTCTTTGTATTTTTATTTATTTAAATTTTGGGATCACAATTTACTCCCCCATTTTCCATTCACCGTCCACTAAACCACTCATTCTAGTACTCCTTATACTTCCCTCCCCCATCTTCTCCACCATCTCCCTCATGACCAGTGAATTTTTCCATTAAGCCAAAGGTTAATATTTGCTGTATTTTGCCAGTGTATGGGTTTTTGTTGTTTTATTTTTGTTATTAATATTTCACAGATGAGTGAAACCATCTTCCTTTGAGCACATTTTAATTTTTTTAAATAATTATTTATAGGGCAAAGTGTGACCCCCAACCTCTGTTCTGCTATGATGTGGGTGGAGTCTTACTTTTTGGTTATTTTTAACTGATAAATTAGATATATTCATTATGTCAAAATCTAGAGAAATATTGCACTGCTTTTCATTGTCTTTAGTCCTCAGCTGTGAAAAGTATTAAATTAATTAGATGTATTTTCAAATAAATTTTATTTTAAACACACTGAAGTTGACCAAGTAATGCACTTTAACTTAATATGCTGTTATCCATTGTATATGAAGTATCTTTTGCATTTTGCAGATGACTCAAGACTAAAAGGATCTCAAGTAACATTAGAGAACAAAATACATCACAAATTAGGTAAGATTAGTTTTCTCTTTTAATATTTTCATAGGACTTGTTTCTAAATATAATTTTTCTTATATGTCAGAATGTGACTGCTGCTGTACTTACACCTAAAGAGAAACACTAGGGGTGAAGCTATTTGTAGTTGCTACAGGCAAAAACTCATAACTTATCGGTTAGTATTTTGTGGATCCAGAATGAGAGATAATTATATCCCTCTGCTTAATGTTTATGAATTAATAACTGTTGTTGACATGGAAGAAATTCCTCAGAACATAAAATACAAAAAATGGAAACCATGAAGATAAAAGATACACAGTTGAAATAATGTAGAGAGAGCAGACAAAACATGTATGTTTTCTAGGACAGAAAGAAACAGATGGAGGAGAAAAAACAGGTAAAGAAATAGTTCAAGCTTCTCTGGATTAAAGATGACTTGAATCTGCAGTTTGAATGAATTGTCAACTGCCAGTCAGAATTACTGGTAGAAGTGAATAAAATTCCTGGGTTTCAAAAGTATAGGGAAGTTTCTACATCAAAAGCAAAACATTATAAAGGAGAAAAATGACTAGCACTTTTCATCTGAGTAACACTGGAAAATCATTATAGCCTGCTTTCAGAAATGCATTACAAACCAATGATCTTTTATCTGGTAAATATATTTTTCTTTCTGATAAGTTAACTTGTTTTGCAGATAATGCAAGAATGAGCTTAGTATCTGCTATGTAAATACCCTTGTGAGATATTCTAAACAAGTACTGTGTAAATCATAACTGAGTACATAAAGAAGAAACAATGGTGAATGATTCTTACAGAATATATAAATTTCAATGATGTGTATTTTTCTGTTACTTTGTATCATGTTACCACAAATTTACGGTTTTAAACAGTAAGCATTTATTATCCCATGGTTTCCAGACAGAAGTTAGCTGGGTCCTGTGTTCAAGAGATCTCACAAGCTGCAATCACAGAGGCTCCAGATTCTCTTCATGTGGTTGTTACAGGGAGAAAAGGAATAATCTTTGATCAAACCAATAAAAGAAAAATCATTAATGTAAAATAATTGAGCAATATAAAATAAAATGGAAGAACTGAAAGGAAGCATATTACTTGTCACACTAAATATGTGTTAATGTATATTAAGTTCCTCTAATAAGACAGAAATTATCAGATTTGGCTAAATAATACAAATCAACCTACATATTATAATATGCACTTAAAACAATTTTTTAAAATGAAAGATTATCATAAAATTAAGTAGGTGTACAAGGAAAAAAAATTATAGTATAATTTTAATATTAAGTAAAGTAGAACTTTTTCTCCTAAATCACTCCCTAGCAAAGTAGAATTTAAGATTAAAATTAAAATGCATGATAAAGGAAGGACACGTAATGTGGTAGAGTGAACAGTTGAAGAAGAAGATATAACAGTACGCACAACAATCTGGCAACTAAATATGAAAAAGCAAGGGGTTTTTCTTTTTTTAATTTAAACAGTACAGTCAGACTAGGTCGTTTTGATAACACATTTTTAGAATTAGACATACTTAGCAGACAAGAACAATAGATAAGAACATAGGAATTTGACTATATAACCAACAAACCCAACTTGGTATATAGAACTTTATATTATTGTGATACAGTTTGCAGGTTATGTGGATACACAAACACATGTGTACATAACCTCCCAGTTTACAAATAATAGTATTATGGAGCTAGATGGTTTTCAGTTTGATTTTTGTTTTCTATTTCTGTTAGAAGCAATATAACTATGAATGTGTTATTGTACCTATGGCTTTGCCCAGTTTTGTGAACATTTTTGCAAATTCACTTTCTCAAAATGAAATTTCTGAGTTCAATAGTTTAATTAACAGGTATTATCAAATTGTCCTGTCACTTTCCATTTCTACCAGTAGTATATCACAGTGTCTATGTGTCTTTAAAATCAGTAATCCTGAGCATCATTGAATTTTCAAGTCTTTTCCAATCTAGTAGCCTAATTTGTTGTTGACATTTCTTTATGTATTAGCACAAATGTTTTAAAAAGGTTTTAGTGTTTTGTCTAAAATTGTTAGCATTTAAGGTAATATAATCTTTTCACTGCAAAATATCACCCAACTAAACATTTATATATATATACACACACATTTTTGTCTATTACATTTTTATAGTAATGCCATCCAACACACCAAATGTTCGCAGGACCAAGAGAATAAGATCAAAACCTTTGGAATACTGGCGAGGGGAGCGTGTAGATTATCAAGGAAGGCCATCAGGTAAAATTCATTTATGCTTTAATGTTTGACAGTAAAAATAATAATTGCTACCATTTACTTAGTGTATGTTTTCTTTCTCAAACAATATGCTATGTCAGGGGGTTAAACTCACATGTGGACTACTATAAATAGTTCATTGCTGGCTTTTGTGTACTTTTTCTTTTTGTTTTGTTTTTAAACAGCCAGGGATGATTGTTGATTTTTACACAACTGAGGTCATCAGTGCTTCTAGATTTAGGATAAGAGACATTTACATGAAATAGGTTGGTAATAAATATTATTTGAATTGCTAACTATAGAATATAGTAATAGTAATGTTTCTTTGGCACTTTGAAAGGAAATGTGTTATATCTTGTTTTGTTTCCAACTTTTCATTTTCCCAGATATGTTATTTCACCTTTTTTGTTAATTTCAGGAGGATTTGTGGTTGGTGGAATATTGTCCCCAGACACAGAATCATCTAAAAGGAAGACAAAAGAAAACATGGAAAAAGTCAACAAAATTGTTAATAAAAAAAGAATCTGTCTTGATAATGATAAAAGAAGTATGAATTTATTCCTGAAAGTAACTTTTAGATTTTAAGGGACAGTGCTTTGAAAAGTAGTGCTTTGCAAATTTTGAAATTTATCTCTAAAAACTCAGATCTGTACTACTACAGGATAGAAATGAAAATAAATTTGAAATTCTTTTGAAAATATAATTAATGGCATAGTATAAATAATTCGTCATAAGCAAACCACACAAACGAAACTTACCTTTCCTGTCCCCAAGCTGTGGTTAAAATATTTTAATGAAGTTTTCTAAATTGTAGTTCATGCTGTCAGAATATGCAAAACACTCATTTAACTTTTTTTTTTTTTTTTAAGATTTACTCATTTATGTACACAAGAACTGGGGTATAGGCCAGAGATTTAGGTGGCTAAAGTAATGGGAGGTTCTGGGGTCCACCGTAACCTTGAAGGTTGTGGTGGGTGCGATCCCCGCTCAGTAGGACGTCGGGGGCTTGCTGGACGATCATGGCCAAGGACCCCGCTGTAGTACTGAGTGAGGTGAACAACTTCTGGGAAGGAGTTGGGAACAGAACAGGTGGGTTTCCTGAAATGCCTTGCTGAGGGGACAGCAGGTGAGGCAGGTGAGACAGGAGAGGTCTGTTGTGTCATATGGGTCACTTCTGGAGTGGGGATCAAATTCATGTTATAGTGACTGCTGATAGCTTCGTAGTGCTACACTTTAACCCCTTGTGCTACCAGGAGGCCCCTCATTTAACTTTTTGATGATGAAGGGTTTCAAGAGTTGCTATGTTTTAATAAGCTTATAGAAAATATGTTTAGGATATATGCTTCTATAGTAAATAATTGTGGTTTTTGAACTTTTGTCAGAGCAGTCATTTGTAAGTAGGAATAGGGCTCTTATTTTCTGTTTCAACTTGCCCTTAATTGTATTTTATACGAGTTTTTTTTTTTTTTAAGTTGAAAAGAATTTTAAGTAAGTGGTTTTTTTTTCAGTGGTATTTCTTTTGCAGATAATAAGTTAATGATAAATCTGAATATACCTCTGGGAGATCCATTGCAGCCTACAAGGGTAAAGGACCCAGAAACAAGAGAGATTATTCTTATGGGTAAGATAAGGGATGGTATTGAAATGCTTAATTTAACAAAGGACAAAACTTGGTTTGTTGACTGACTTTTATCTACTTTCCATTTCTTGCTCCATTTATTTCAGAGCAAAAATCCAATAAAAGGTCTAATGCTAATAAGCAGCCTATCTAAGGACTGTTATGGGGGAGCATTGATGGCAGTCTCCAGGAGACACAGAGTGCCATGAGTTTGTTCTTTACACTACAAGTGCTGTTGCCAAGACTGTTACTTCCTCCAGTGGTGTTCAGGAGTCACACTGAGATAGAAGTTGTTTATGGGGAATTGTAGCAAACAGACTCAGGATATATTCTTATTTTCATCCTAGGCAGGAATTGTGGGTAATATTTAGACAACCTTCTAAGTCTTAGAATGCCAATCATAGTCTCTGGTGCATGAAACCTTTGGGGAGCATGACTAACAAAACAGTCAGACAAATAATAGGCTTAAACCTAAGGCCTACAGAGGGTTCAAGGAGGTTCCTGCTGTATTTAGTAGGCTTTTACACATTAGTGTCTAGAGATCATGGGAGGTTTCCCAACGGATTGACTATTGTGTGGTGGGGATAAGTAAGGAACACTTCACCAGGCAATGTTTATATGCTTGAAATGCTTCAAGTTATTTCTCTATTCAGATTATTTATTTGGCAAATAGAGGTAGAAGTACACAGAATTTTTAGTGCAATATTAAAACTATTATTGCACTGTACCAGGTTTGAAAAGTTGTGTTGTTAGGCATTCATTACTTTTTGCTTGTTTTTTGAGTCTATATTCTCTATATTTTATAGTGTGTAGGATTACTAACATTACTGCATTGCCAAGGAAACACTATCAGTGATAATGATAGACAAGGACATTAGTTACAGATTTGGAAAGGTTTGTAAGTAAAAGGAAATCAAAAGTAAGGTAGTAATTTGTGAGCAACAGTTAGAATTCTGTTTACTGAGTATGTTTACCTGATAAATAAATATCTTGTTGTTTAATAATCCATCAATCAAGTACAAGAGAGTAATGGTATGATGATTAAGAGTTAGGTTAAACTTTTTAAAGTTTATTATTTTTGTTATTTTTTAGTTTATGATACAAATATAACAATTACTGCCATTAATATGAATAGCTAAGGCCTACCTAATATGTACTTTGTGCCAGTGTTTTAAGTACCTCACACAATTAACTCATATGCTATATTTGAACTTTTTTTCTTCAATCTCAGTGTATAGCAAAGAAAGCAGAGAGAGAAATACATTAAGTAACTTATCTAAATTCATAGTGCTTGTAAGGCAAAGAGAGGATTTGTCCTCTGGCATTCTATCTCCAGAGTCAAATATCTTACATCTGTTTTCCTAAGGCAGGTTTATATGTAGGAATAACTGTATTATATGTGTCTGTGTATTGTTATTATCACTAATATTTTTTTATTTCCTATTTATTTTTTCCCTTAGATCTTATAAGACCACGAGATACTTACCAATTTTTTGTTGAGCATGGTGACCTGAAAGTATATAAAACATTAGATACACCCTTTTTTTCTACTGGAAAATTGACATTAGGACCACATCAAGAAAAGGGAAAGCAGCATGTTGGCGCAGATATGTTGGTAAGTTTATTTCTCCATATATTTATCTTTCTGCTATTGGTGCAGGTCTGATTTATTGTACTTGATGAGGTGTTAAAATGCTGTTTCCTCAAAAATAATATCTTACTACTATAGTGTTCAGAGAATTTTTTTTGTTGTTAAATCTGTTGTTAATCAGTCTGTGCTTACTTAAAAGTTGTTCTGTACATAGCAGTGTAACCTTGAGATTCAGACATTTAAGATCTGGAAGTCTTTAGAACAAACATCTTACAGGTTTGTAAACAATTGTTAAAATTTTAAAGCTTGAAGGGATTTATAGTAAGTCTAAATCTCATTCCCCCCTACCTCATAGTGGAGTTTAGCAACAATGAGCTTAAAAGACTTCACTATCTTCTAGAAGACTGGGAATTGGAAGCTATTTGTTTCAAAAAGTACTCAATAGTATATTATCGTAGATAGCAAAATTGCTGGCTGAAGTTATCTCTCTGTTTCTCTCATTAGAAGTAGACCCCTTGCAAGATTTATGTGACATGTGCATGTATATATGTTAGCTATTCATGGGAGTTATTATTGTTGTGTATTTCAAAAGCCTTCTTAGTAAAATGTTTGCAAAGTAGGGAGGCTTGTATTTAGAGAGCCAAACTGAATAAATAAGAAAAAGACATCATAGAAATGCATGTTATAGTGTCTTTTCTGTAAAGTTGAGATATTTTTGTTTGTTTGTTTTATCAAATTATACGAGTTCTGAGCCTCTCTGATGGCCAGGCATTAAGTTTCAACGATACCATCACTACAGCCTGAGTTTGTCCCAAGCCAGGGAGCTAGCCCACTTATGGTGCAGCAGACCTCTCTGTTTCGCTTGCTGCTCTGCTTAGAAGTGTATTACAGTAAATATGCCTATTCTGCTCTCCATTCTGTCTCTGGTATATACTCTCACCACTGAACCTCTAACCTTTACCGTTCTACACAAAAAATACATAAATGTTTTTAGAGCTTTTTTTCAAACATTCCTTTCCCATTTAGGAAATCAATACATCATAATGGCTAAGAGTATGAATTCTGGAATCAGTGAGTTCAAATCCAAGTTTTCCATTTCATAACCTTGAAAGTTATATCCCTCAGTGCCCTGTCTTGTCTTCTTGATCTCTGAAACACTAATATCTGTACCTATTTTGTACTCATCTCACTGGTATGTACATACATTAAATGACTAAAAATTAAGTGCTCAGAACATTTGCTGGCAAAGTGATTAAAAGAAAAAGGGAAGGAAGAGGAAGTCATTCTCTGAAGCAAAAAAAAAAATCCCAATGGCTGAATCTTAAAATTTGAAGTTTGAAAGAGTGACATTTTTTATTTAAGCCCCGCAAAGCCAGATAATTTCCAGGATTCTGCTATCTATATATAAATGTAAAATTTGACATATTTGACTATGTAAGTCTGTGTGATTGAAGAAAGGATTATCCTCTTTTTTTTTTTTTTATTTATTTATCTATTCATACAGAACTGGGGTACAAGCCAGAAGTGCAGGGGTGGTGAAAGGCTTCACCAGGGACACAGTGGGGTGCGAAACATGCAGACAGAAGAAGTACACTGCTGAGGGGAGGATCAGATGGGTCAGGAGAGTTCTGCCGCACCATGTGGGTCACCTCCCAGGCGGGGATCAAACTCACACTGAGGCGGCTGCAGCTAGCTTGCAGTGCTGCATCTGCCACCAAGGAGAATCCAGATTATAGTCTTTTGTAAAATTTTTTTGTTGGTACTTGTGTAAATACAAACCTTTTTTTTTTTTTTTTTTTTGACTCATTAGTCAAATTGAGTAGTCTGGTGTCCTAAACATGGAACGATTAAAGAGAGGTACATAAACAGCTAGCCATTTTTCTAATATAAATGTGGCCATCTATACTATAGTATATACTATAGTATAAAAGCAATATTTATTCAGTAAAAACTGGGTGGTTTTTACAGCAGCAAGCCATGACTCCCAGCCAGTATTTTTACCCTGTGATATTATCAGTTTACAATGGGTTTAGTAGGACATCGTAAGTTGAGGAGGTCCATATAGTAAATTGACATTCTTTACAGTGAGTCTGTGTTTTTGTAAGCTAATAAATAATAATAATAATAAAAAGATTTTTTTCCTTTATTGTTTTCTATTGTCAGTTGGACAGATCGCCACTAATTTTGTGACTGAAACAACATCCATTTATTATCATACTTAGGTAGATTATAGAAGTCTGGTGGGCTTCACTATATTGAAACAAGATACTGGCAGATCTGTATTCTTCTCTGGAGTTTCATAAGTTGAATCTGTTTTCTGGCAGAGATCAGTTCTATGTAGTTACATAACTGAGGTTCTCATTTCCTCACTGCTGTTAATTGGAATATCTTTCTCAAGATCTCAAAATAGTCTGCATTTTTTGGTTCCTGATCCTCTGCAGCACTAACAACAATGTATCACATGTTTTATTTCTTGAACTTCTCTGTTTCACCTCACCAGTGCTTCCAAAAGTTGTTACACCCATTTTTAAGGGCTTATGTGACTAGTAGATAACCCAAGGTTATCTTTCAAAGGACCCCTTTACTACCTAACAGTAAATTCTGAAGATTAGAGTCTGGACATCTTGGTTGGTGGGATGTTGAGGGTTACTAGTGCCGGTATTTCCTTAGTTCTTTGTTGTGGTTCAACTTGAATTGAAATCTTGGTTTTGAAATTTACAGGTTTTTTATGTTAACTTTGGTGACCTTTTATGTACCTTACATGAAACATCTTATGTAATCACAACCGGGGATTCTTTCTATGTGCCTTCAGGTAAGAATAATTAAAGATATACCCTTTTACGTACTATATAGCATTTTTATAGATACTCACAAGCACCATGAAGTTTGAACCACAGTGGTCAAAATTAAGCATGATGTGATGGATGCTAAAGAAGCTTGGTACATATTTTCTTTTAGTTTTATCCCTGGAGAAGTATGTTAATACTTGAAATTTGAATATATGCAATTTGAAGAATTGTGAAATACAAATAAATACATGAAAATATAAGAATTGTTTATTACTGAAAATATTTAATTAGAGTATATGTTATTTTCAGGATAGAGGAAAAGTTGTCATCTCTAAGATACCATATGGTCACACAGTTTTGAGTAGGTTATTTATTTAAGATTTATTTTAATTATTTATGCATACAAGAGCTGGGGTGTAGGCCAGAGGTGCAGGAGGTAAGAGGATTCACCAGAGACAGAGTGGAGAGCAGAACAGGTGGATCTACTGAAACACACTGCTGAGGGGAGCAGCAGGTGCGACACAACAGTTCTGCTGCACCATGCAGGTCATTTCCCTGGCCAGCGATCGAACTTGTGCTGCAGTATCTGCTGATAGCTTGATAATACTGAGACTTTTACTCCTGTGAGTAGCTTATTTAAACATACATAATATTGTGCTTCATTGAGGAATACAAATATTGAAGAGTACAGATTTGGGGTATGGTAATTTTAATTTTTTTTTTATTCATTCAACAAATGTGAATGAGAGTCTATCAAGCATTACTATAAGAGTGAAGGATATATAAGTGAATAGAAAAAAATTCCTGCTGTCATGGATCTTATATTCTAGTGAAAGCAAATAATCAGAGTATGTACCAGCACTGTTGTGAATACAGTTGCTAACGTGGTTAAGCTTAATATGTCAGTTTCTTATATATAGAAACTTACATACAGTATGGTACTCAGTACTATAAAATCTGCTGTATGTGTGGCTACTCATCTACATTTTACTTTTGCTGTTATTTGTTATCTTATTCAAGAGTAGCATTTGTCTTTTTTTAACTTTAAGGTTCTGTTGTACTTCACATATTACCTTTCATATTTGCATATGCATATGTCTGGTTTGGGGGAATCCATAGCAGTTCCAAAAATTTAATAATGATTGGATACAGGGAGAGATTTTACTTCTTGAATCTGTGTCTAATTCTTCTTTGCATTCATATCAGGATGACAATGACGTTTACATTCTTTCAAGCCTGATTAGATCACAGGCAGTGGCTAACACTTGGTCAACATTTGAATTTTTCAGTTTGTCAAATTAGTTACTTAGTGTTAGGTAAATTGATTATTTTTATTTGGTACTGAAGTGTATATAATTGCTTAGCGATGACTATTTTATCAAGAGGAACTGATTTCTATGGAAATAATTTAATTTTCTTTTCACTCTATTTCTAGGTAATTATTACAACATCAAAAATCTTCTGGATAAGGAAAGTGTATTACTTTTTACTCAGATAAAAAGATGAAAAATGAAATAAAACCTAAAAATGTGTATGTGCATGTACATGCATTTGTATATATACACACAACAGTTTGTACAGTTGGGACATTTTTCTTTGTAATTATATTTGAGGTCTTTTAAAATAAAATTTTATTAAGTTTTGTATGTACTTGTATCAGATATTTCAATTTCCCGCATCTAAATTTCTCCACAAATACATGCTTGATCTTTAGTGATTCCCATGTTCCTAATATTTTAATAATATGAGAATCAAAATTTGCCTGCAGTGAAAAGCAGTGTTTCTTTGTCAGAAGATAACCGTTTATTTATAAGCCATTTCCAAATTTCAGTTTTAAATCACTAATCGTTAAACTATCAAATAATAGAGAACTGTGGTAAAATAGTACCTCTGTATTAATTTCCCTGGGCTATTGTCACAAACCTAGTACTAACTGGGTAACTTAAAACAACAAAAATTCTGGAGCATCTGAAATCAAAATCAGCAGAGGTTCTCTCTCTTTCTCTGAATCTCTCTGAAACCGTTAGGGAAAAACCTTTCTCTCCTTGGTGTTGTTTTGACATCAGTAGTTAGACTAGACCTTTGCCAGGGCTGTCTGGTCTTAGTTCCCTTCAGCTTTCTAATTTTCAGTGAAATGTCTTCATAAATACATCTAGGCCAAAGAGCCTAATTTTTAGTTGTTATTTTTTGTGGTGTGTCTATATATGTATATATGCATGTGTCTGTGTATACATACATGTATATAGTTATAGTTGCTGTTAAATGGTAAATTATCCTTAGTCCAGCCCCCTGCTCATGCTTATGTTTAACTGTTAAATATGTATTCAGAATCCTCTGGGGATGCAGAGTGAGGTTTTTCCTTAGTTTTTTGTTTTTAATTTCTCTTGCTGTAAAAAAGAGGATAAATTCTGTTTAAATTGTGACCAGCTTTTTGTTAATGATAACTTTCTTAGGATCAGTGTAACATTGATATGTTTTTTGTTCATTTACTTCATATTGCATAACAGCTTTGTGATTACAAAAATAAAGTTCAGCTAGTCATTTTCTCTACTGAACAGTCTGCAATCATTATTACTAGTTCTTTAATTAGAACAATAATATTTTGCTACATTATTGGTAATGTTTTTGAGTGTCATTTCTAAACATTTTTTTTTTTTTAAGATTTATTTATTTATGCATACAGAACTGGGGTACAGGCCAGAGGCTCAGGGGAGGTGAGAGGCTTCACCAGAGACAGAGTGGGGAGCAGAACAGGCAGATCGATGAAGTACACTGCTGAGGGGAGCAGCGGGCGGGTCAGGAGAGGTCTGCCACGCCATGTGGTCACCTCCGGGGCAGGCGGGGATCGAACTCATGCGGAAGTGGCTTTAGCTTCTCAGTGCAGTGCTTTAACCCGCTGCGCCACCAGGGAGGGCCTCTAAACATTTTTTTTAACATTTTATTTATTTATGCATACAAAAATTGATTGGGGTACAAGCCAAAGGTATGGGAGTGGTGAGAGAATTCACCAGAGACACCGTAGGGAGCAGAACGGGCAGAAGGACTGAAAACATTGCTGAGGGCAACAGCGGGTGGGGTCAGGAGAGGTCTGCTGTGCCATGTGGGTCACCTCCCTGGCTGGGGATCAAACTTGTGCTACGGTAGCTGTGGATAGCTTCCTAGTGCTGTGGTTTAACCCGTTGCACCACCAGGGAGGGCCCATATGAATACACTTATTTGTAGTTACTCAGAAACTGGTATAATTTCCCAAGTCAAGTTCAATGACTAAAGGTATTTATTTTCACTTTGACCAGTTTTGCTCTTTCATCTGCAATGACTTGATTTATTTTTTTTAAGTGAAGCATTTATATTACTGATATAATTTCACATAGTCTAATGTGCTGATCTTAAGCACAGTTCTGTGAGTTTTTCACAGTGAGTTTTTCTTTGCATCTTATCACCAATGTAACCCATAAAATATTTCCCTCTAGGAAGTTCTTCCTATTTCATCCATTTTTTTTCCAACCCTATCTCTACCCCTTTTTGCCTCTTTCCAGAATTTTACATAAATAAATTAGATAAACTATACTTTCATTCAATGAGTGTATAAGATTCATCTGCTGTGATGTGTCTGTCAGCTGTTCATTCATATTTTATGGGTGAATGATGTGCCATGTGAATATAACACTTTACTTTCCTCTTGATATTTGGGGCTACTAAGAATAAAGCTGCTGTGATTATTGTCAATTTTTCTTTTTTTTGTGGACATGCTGTCTCTATTGGGTTGATACCTATGTAACAAATGACTAAATTAAAAGTATATGTGTGTGGTGAGTTAAGAGGTGAGTTAAGAGAATCTGCTAAACACTTATGAAGTGATTGTATCATTTTAAACTCCCACCAGCAATTTAATGCAAATTGGTTTTTCTACATCTTTCTTGATATTTGGTGGTGTCAGTTTTTAGTTTTAGTTTTAGCCATCCTAATTGTTTTGAAAATGTTTTCCCTTTATGAATGTGTATGTGTGTATATGTGTGTGTGTGTGTGTGTGTGTGTATATATATATATTTATGAAGTACAATGTGTTTTGAGAAATCTTTTCTATATCCAAATCATTCTCCTTTGTTTCATTCTAGAAGCATTATGTCTTTTACATTTAGGATTGTGATCATCTCTAATTTCTTTTATATAGTGTTGGGTTGGAGTCAAGATCATCCTCCCCCCCCCCCCATGGATATCTGGTTGTCGTTGTTTTAGAGCTTTTCAATTACTGAAAGTCTTCTAATTTCACGATAATCAAAATTGTTTTGACTATTGTAGGGTCTTAGTACTTGCATATAAATTTTAGAATTAACTTTTCGATACTTTATTCTAAATCCTGCTGCGATGTTGAGTTTACATTGAATTGTTAGATCAATTTGCAAAGAACTGTCATCTGAGCCAATATTATGTACTATGTACTCATTCATGTTCATGTTCAGTGAACATTTATTTAGGTTTAAATTCTCTTGTTCTTCTTTTATAGTTTCAGAATAGGGATGTTCATCTTGTTAAACTTACTGCCAGGCAGTGCATGTATGCTAAATTATACTATTTCTGTAATTTTATTTTTCAAGTTCTGTTGCTAATATATGGGACTACAGTTGACTTCTGTGTCTTCAACTTACTCTCTGACCTTGCTAAATTCAATCAATCCTTACCTTTTTTTTCAAATTGCCTAAGACTTTGAGAATGTACCATCAGATCTGTGAATAAATACATTTTAACTTCTTTCTTTTCCATCAAGAGTGCCTTCTATTTCTCTTGTGTTATACTGTCCTCCAAGAAAGTGTTGAATAGAAACAGTGAGGGCAGTCAGTCTGAATTATGCTCAAACTTAATGGCACTCAGTATTTCATCCTGAAGTATAATTAGTAAGCTTTTCAGAATAATAGATTAAGCCTTTGCATTTCTGATTTGCTTATTTTATTTCAATGGTGAATTTATCTGTTTTGAAATAATCAGGCTTTATCATTTGTAATAAACTGCTTGGCGAATTTCTTTTTTCAAATTCTGATTTCCCCTTGCACTTCATGACTCACATGGTCATGATGTACTGTTTATATAGTGCTGTATTCACTTTCTTATAGTTTGTTAAGGATGTGTGTGTTTCTAATTCCTTGAGGGAGTATTGATTTGTTGGGCTTTTTTAGTGGTTCTTGTTATAGCATTAACAAGGGCTGGTATCAAGGTTTTACAGGCCTCATAAAGTGTATTAGAAATTGTTTCTTCATTTTGCAATCTCCAGAAGGGTTTACATAGGATTGATACTATTTCCTTTTCAAATGTCAGAAAGAATTCTTAGTAAATCTCCCTGGTCAGAGTTTGCTATGTAGGGAAATTTTTCATTACTTTAACTCTTTTTTTAAACTATTTATTTATTTATACATACATACAGAACTGAGGTACAATCCAGAGGTGCAGGGACAGTGAGAGGATTCACCAGAGACCGAGCAGGAAGCAGAACAGGCAGATTGATGAAGTACATTGCTGAGGGGAGAAGCAGGTGGGTCAGGAGAGGTCTGCCACGCCATGTGGATCACCGCCCAGTCCAGGGATCGAACTAGCATTGAAGTGGCTGCAGCTAGATTGCAGTGCTACATCCTTACCCGTTGCGCCACCAGAGAGGGCCAACTTTAACTTTTTCAATAAATTATGAGAGTATTCAGGTTTCTTGTTTTATTAGTTCTGATAAATAAACAGTGTTTGAAGAATTTGCCTGTTCTAAATTTTAAACTTGATTTGCATAAAATTCTTATTTCCTCTTTCAATAGTTTTTTTTTTTCAGACTTTGCAGAATTTTTTTAAGTATACTTAATATAAAAATGATTAATATGGTCTTTGGTACATAATTGCTGTATTTGTTTCCTTTTTTGTTGGTTATTACCAACTTACCAGTTTTGTTCTTCAAATAGGTTTCAATTTTTTCCCTCTTTTTTATTTCCTTGATTTTGATCTGATCATCATAATTTACTGCATTCTACTTATTTTGGTCTTAGCTTCTTATCTTTTTTTAAGGTAGATGTTTATTTTTGAATTTTCTTTTTAATTTAGCCATTTAAAGTGGCTGTTTGGGGCCTCCCTCTTGAGGGACAGGAGTTAAGTCTCATAACTGCGATGCTATCTCCACTGCAGCCTGAGTTCGACCTGGCCTGGTACCTAAGACCTCTCCTGTCTCACCCGCTGCTCCCCAGCAGTGTATTTCAGTAAATCTACCTGTTCTGTTCCCCATTCTGTTTCTGGTAAATCCTCTTACCCCTGTCCCACCTACACACACACACCTCTGACCTATGCTCTCGTTCTTAAATGCATAAATAAATAAAACTAAATCTTAAAAAAAATAAAGTTGCAATTTTATATATTTTATTTTCAAAACTTCATCCCTTCCTACATAATCCATTGGATGTTTACGCTACATTGGGTTCATTCCTTCATCTGTTATTTTCATCTTTTGGTTTTCTGAACGTTGGTGTAAAAGTGTTTTGAATTTCTACTTAATTTTTATGTTACTCGTATATTCTATGTTTGAGGACC